GAGCGGCGCCTTCGGACCCCGCTGGATGAGATCGTCCATCCACGCGATCGTGAGCACCGAGACCCAGCTCGCGGTCTCGCGCGGGTTGACGTCGCGGCGCAGCTTGGCCGCGTTCGTTGGCGTTTGCACTGGAAGGTAGGGTGTCATGTCCGAGAAAAGAAAAAGTGAGCGTGACGAGGTGACATGGACTTGAAGGTTGCGTTTTTACAGACACGCACACGGAGGACATTCCATACCACACAATTGTTTGTTATCATCAACGCCTGGTCAGATTCGACGACAACGTTCACCAGACATGTGGCCACATCACTGCCACGGGCAAAGATGATGGCAAGCGCCGGCGCGTCATCCTGCAAAGTTTGTACAGGACCAACATTCGGCGAAGTACCACCGTGACAGCCCCTTTCCAACGGTTGCGGTAGCTGCACCGTCCACTAGTTTGTGGCTAACCTCGGAAGCGAACCTCGGAAGCAAACCTCGAAGCGGAACCTCGGACCTCGGACCTTGGAGTGTGATCGGGTGAAGTAGAACCGAGCTTGGACCGATCTCAGATCCACGTAATGGCAGTGATCCGCCACGACATCCCCTGAGAATAGTGACAGACCACAGCCCGTTGGTTGAGCCTTTCACCTGGCTTCGTCGCTCAGAGAGGAAAAATGGCGCAAGGCCTGCATTACCGCAGCACCTCGGGTAAGACGTCGCGGGTTGCTTAGATCGAAACTAGAATGCGAGTTGGTTGGCTGTACTCGTCGAGGCCCTTCGACGCCATCTCGGGTGGGTGTCGACGTCCTTGTACTCGCCGAGCACGTGGTGGACGAGCGTGCGCACTTCCTCGTGCTGCTTGTCTTTGCTCGATATGTCCTCGACCCTAGCAAACATCTTGTTGACAACCGGGTCGTCGGCTACGCCCTCCGTCACGTCCTTGATCTCGCCCTTGAGACACTTGGCCACAGACGTGCTGCAACGAGTGTGCTCTCGTCGCAGCACGCGGCCAAGGCGGTGAAGCCGTCCCCGATCCGGGCGCAAAAGTCCTTCGGCAGTGGCGGTGGAATTCCACCTACAGCAATCGCTTTCTTGAACACCCGACTAGGAAAATCTACTCGAGAAACTAATCGCAAACGACGCCAGGACATCACACCAAGGGTACATGTACATCAAATAAGCATAAAATAAGTTTTTCATGCACTACCTTTGATCGTACCGAGCTCGACTGTATTCCACGGCGAACTCCGAATAGGCCTTGTGCCTTTTTCTGCTTGGCCGCGAGCTTTCCGCAGTTCGCATCGTGGTACACCGCGCAGGTGATAGCGCTGGATTTGGTTTTATATCCGGACGATTCTGCGCTGGCAGGCTGTGCGCAGCGCGTTGTCCGGATAATCAAACGATGGCCACGAAGCTCCTCGCGCGCAGCCTCAGCTGCGTCAACGTTATGCACTTTATGCTCGTGGCCTTCTCCGAGAGCGAGACGTCGGTGCAGTTGGGTGTGTACGACGCGCCTTCGCCCTGGCTGTTACGTCGTCATTTTTGCGTCCGGGTCATTGGGCACTTTAGGGCGACGCGCAGCAAGCTCATGCAGTACCTCGTGCTCACGTACCTCGTTCACCGCGAGCGCACGAACGCCGAGGTCCGCGCGCTGCACAAGCACAAGTGGGCTAGCCACTGCTGGCTCCTCAACGTTAGCTTTCGTGCGCTCTACGAGCTGCGTGGTTTGCGCGCGTAGAAAGTCGAAAAGTCGTAACGACCTTTTCACGAAGGGGCACAATAGCATTCTAGATTTCGACGCCTATGAAGCAAACAGTACTCATGGCGCGGCCAACGTACAAGGACAAGACGTACCTCTATGTCCTTCCTGAGCACGTCCCTGGGACGCAAGTGCGCTGCCCCGTGTATGCTCGGGTCACGGCAATCGCAGGCCCGCGCGGTCAAAAGATGCTCAAGTGCCAAACGATCGCGACGGATATCGCTCCGACGGTGGAGTTCGAGGTCCCGAAGAACGACTGCAAGCTCCAAATCGTGACGGCGAGAGAGGCGACGACGGCCCCTCTCCGTCTCTGGCTGCGCCAGTTCGTCTTTCTCGCGCATGAAGGTCGTGCCTTCACCGGTCAAGTGCAAGCGGTTGACGTCGAAGACGAGATGTTTACGGTGGTGTGTGCTCGCCAACGCGTAAAGGTGCCAGCTGAAACTGTCGAGAGCATTAGCCCCGTCAGCGCAATCCTCCTCTGGGAGTTTGACGTGCCTCTCTCGCCGCCGGAGGAAATTAAGAAACTGATGAAACGAGCTCGGCGCACCCACGCCCGCATCGAGAAGCGCATCACGGACCCGGCTGAAGGATCGCGCGACTTGGCCGTCATCCTGGCGAAGATCATACCTGACGGCGAGGAAGTGCCGGCGACTATCGATCTAGTGTCGCCGGCGACAGGCAAAAATACACGGGTGTCGGTGCAGCACGTGGTCGACCACCTTTTCTATTCGGTCGACGGCCGCGAGGTACCCAAAAATGGCTCGGTGGGCGATCAGTATTGGGAAGATCCCCGCTTCGGTGACAGGGACGACGACGAGCTCGACGCGTCAAGCGACTCGGAGGTCGAAGAAAGCGACGACGACGATTCGGTGCTGGTCCGGCGGTCTGCCAAGTCTGGCCCGAGCAAAGTCAAGCTCGTCAACAAACCTAAGGAACCGCTCAAGCGACCCCGCAGTGTGTCTTGGGAATACGGCGGCCAGCGGTCCGAAGACATCGTAGTGCCGACTCCTCACCCGTCGGATTCGTCGCCAGCCGGTCCAGAGACGCAATTCCGGCGTGACGGTCCGCTCTCACGATATTACGGTCCTTGGGGAGTCGAGGTGGGCCCACCAGATGACGCGGGGATGGACTCTGCTCTCGCCCACGCGCGCCGTCTCGCCAGTTTCGGCGAAGCCAAGCGCCCGCGAACGGAGTTTAACCCGAATGCGATCGACGTGGGGCTCCACAGTTTGATCACGAGCGAGCAATACGCGCGAGCTCACCCTGTGCAGTTTATGCTCCGAGTACGCCAGAACGAGAACCTCGTCTTCTTCAAGTACCCGGCGGTGCTGCGAGCTCTCTTCAGTTTTGAATTTGGCCCGGGCCGCCTTTCGCTACTGCATTTCCAACCGCGCGATTACGACGAGATTTCAGCCTGGGACGAAGCCAACGGGAGCATCATGCAAGACTACTCGTTGACCGCGACCCTCCCCACCGCAGTCGCGGAAGGTCCCGTCGGCGCTGCGCTGGCGGCATCGTTTGATATGCTCATCCTCTACGCAGCTGAGTATTGTCGACCCTTCGTTGTCGCGTTCCTACAACAAGGACTGTCGACGCTGCGGATTCTGTCGGCTCGAAAGCTCCTCGTTGCGGCGTACGCTGCAGACGTGGTGCAGTGGATCGACTCGGTGTTTCAGCAGCTGCACGCGGACTTATCCGACGATTTGTACGGCGACGATGCCGCGGCTTTACACCGACGGACGCGGCACCTTTTCGACGCCGACTCGCGCGAGCTCCATCGCCGGCTCTCGGCCGCATACCGACGACAATTGGCGACCGTGATGGCGTCGATTCCATCGCTCGGCGGGCAGATCGATGCTGCTCCTGCGGCCGTCAAGGCGCGCCAGCACCGGCACGAGTCGGGCGCCGAGGGTCGTTGGCAGCCACCATATCGCAAACATCAGCACCGTGTCTGGTGCAAAAGGCAGCAAAAGCACCGCCGCGCCGACAAAGAAGTTGGCGCCAACCTTGTACCGACCCGAGGGCGTTGGACGATTCAGCGGCGCGGGCCACGACGCCTCGTCGATCCATGCGTGCACCGAGGCGTCGAAGGGAGCAACGACGAGGTAGATCATGCTCCCGTCGTCTCGAAGCTGCGAGGTGACCGACGCAGCGATCGGGAGCAGTCGTAGGCCATAAATGGCGACCAAACCATTCAAGAGCGCTGCATCAAGACGGTCCGAGAGTCTCGCCAAGACGAGCACCGCGGCCGCAACGTCGTCATTTCGGTACGCCCGTTTGGCCTTGTCGTGCGACGACACCGGGAAACATAATTCACTGCGGATGCAACTCTCGATCGCTGGTGGGAGCGGCAGCGACCGTTGGCAGCCCATGGTCGACGCAAGACCGACGGCAAGGTCCTTGCGAGAGCAAGTGGCCAATCGACTTGAGCAAAGCAAAGAGAAAGGCGTCGATGGCTGGCACAAAAATCAGTGGGAAACGTCGAGTTGCATAGTTGGCGTCGTGGAGCTGCGGCGCCAGTCGTGTCACGTGCAGTAGTGCTCCAGCAAGAGGAAGCCATGGACAACGTCGCGGCCATATATATATATATGAACGTGTTTCGCGTTATCTTCGTTGTTACAAAGAGTTCGCATACGTAGAGACTAGCAATCTCCTTCTTCTTCATTCGCTCGCCGGCCGTGGCTGCGCAGGCGGCGGCGCGGGGCGCATCTTGTTCTTCTGTAGTCGCGCGGCGGCGTTTGTGGCCGCGGGTGAGGCCCATGATGACAAGCTCCGTGGATTCCTTCCAGGCTTCGCGATCGGCGGCAAAGCTACGCAGTTTGTTGAGGTCCTCGAGAGACGCCAGCGACTGAGGCGGCGTCAACGACTGGAGGTCGCGGTGCAGGACGATCGGCAACGTGATCTTGGTGCGGCCTAAAAAACGGGGCGCCTCGAAAGCGGCAAAGAAGCGGGCGGCGGCAATGTTGGCAGGGACGTCTTTCTCCAGGCGCAGCACGTGACCCAGCAGGCGCCAGACGTCGCGGCCATATACAAGAAAGTCACTCGACGTGGTTGGAGGCCCGGTGTCGGCACCACATTGTAGCAGCGGATGCAGAGTTCGGCCTCGCATTGTTGGCGCAGCAGTGGGCCCACAAAAGACTTGGTGTCGACGCCGGCCAAACTCATTCGCAGCAGCATCACTTCGTCCGGGTTCGTGTTAGTCCAGTCCCAGATCAATTGCTGCTCGCCTTCTTTCCCTTTGTACCAAGAAGCGACAAAACGAAACCAGATATGACACATTACACAACATTTGATATTAATCCAGATCATCGCCTTACATCTGGAGGTGCGCCTGTTCCGCGAGCTTGGCAAACGACCCGTCCGGAATCGCCAGCAGTGCCGTCGGCGTGTCGTACTCGACGACGCGGCCAGCGTCGAGCACCAGAATCCGGTCCGAGTCGATGATCGTGTCGAGCCGATGGGCAATGATGAGCATCGTGATGCTGACAAAGCACTCCTTGATCGTCGTCTGGATGCGCTTGTCCGACTCGAGGTCGATGTTGGCGGTCGCTTCGTCGAGGACGACCACCTTGCTCTTGCGCAACAAGAGCGCGCGCAATGCAGAGCAGCTGGCGCTGGCCCACGGAAAAGTTGCTGCCGCGCTCGGCCACCTCGTCGTCCAGCGACGCAATGCCGTCGCCCAAGTGCACTTGCTTGAGGACCGTCCAGAGCTCGTCGTCGGATGCCTTGCCCGACGGATCCAAGTTGAAGCGCAGCGAGCCAGAGAAGAGCACCGGGTCTTGCGGGATGATCGTGAGCCGCGACCGGAGCGTCGTCACCGACACGTTGGCAATGTTGACGTCGTCGATGACAATCGAGCCGGTCGCACTCGGCACCATGCGGAAGAGCGCGGCCATG